TGGTCCACATAAGTACATTATGGTGCCAAGCCTGTCACATATACCTGTATTTGTACAGGTTGTATGGGATGGGGTTGGCGCAATGATGTAATCACTCCAGGTACTCGTATGTGGGCGTATCTGCATGTGGACGGACCCACCTGGAGATGGATAGAGTAGTGGTGTCTCTGTTTCTAAGATCATCGGAAATATGTGTTTTCCGATGGTCTTAGGTGAACCCTATGAAAGGGTCATTCGACCCCCAAGGGGGTCGCGACCCACAGGTTGAGAACTGTTGCCTTAGGCATTGGGTGATATTAAAAATGAATACCACTACAATGTGCAATGTATGTAATACTGCAAAAAATAGATGTAAATCAGCCCTAAATGAAGAAAGTCAGTTTTGGAGCATGTGCAGACTAAACTGACGATCAAAACAAGTCTCTGCTATTCTGTAACAATTGATGGGATTACAGACTAAACAAATTAGTGAGGTGGATGAAACCTGTTAAACATAAAACTCAGTTTGGAATAACTATCTAATACTTTGAATTACACATACTGGAGTGCTGAGGATTAACTTCTGTTGAATTCTGTATTTGTTCTGGAAAGTTCTTTAGCAAGCACTTTACATTTAATTATGTAATTCTATTTATAACTGCATTCTGATAAATTTGGCAACTGCTTTCACTATAATTTTATATGGGGGGGGGGCTCAAACCAAATCACCCATTATGAAATACAGATGTCATTAGTAAACATCAGGCATCAACTGTGAATATACTAATATTTGAGTCCTTGGGTCCTGAGAGTTTTTCAACAAAGTCTATAATTCCACTCACTTAGGTCAAAGACATTCCAATTTCAGCTATTAGCTTGATGAAAAAAAGATTATAAACATATGAACATCAGTAGACACATATGAAGTTACAGGTCAGGGGCGGACTGACCATTTGGAAACTCGGGCACTGCCTGAGAGCCCGGGGTCAGTAGGGGCCCCCATGAGATGCCCCTGGTACCGTTTTCATAGGCTTTTTTGAGTTTGGGCAAGGACACAGGGGCCCCATGATCCCCTATTGCCCGGGGGCCCCATGAGTTGTCAGTCCGCCCCTGTTACAGGTTTCAGTCCAGGAGAGAAGACCTTTTTATTACCCTGTATATGAACTGTACATCCTTCATTTAGCTACAATGCAGTTATAGTACTGTAAATTGTCTAGACAGCAAAAGACAACACCTACTAAAATAACAATTAGGTTTTTTTTACCATTAATACTTTTTTTTTAAATTCTTGGCAGACAGGATTTATTTCTCTAAGAACCCAATGGGAGAATGTGCTGACTTAAATGTCATACACGAATTGAGATACTAAAGGAAGCACATTTATTTACTGGCAGGTTGGATATATGTTTTGCTTGGTGTCTAATTAAGGTTACTTTGCGTTATAAGCAAGGAAACATAGACCTCTGTAGTGTATTAATATGCTTTTACTAAATGACAGTGCTGTACATACACAATTACAGCTACTGGAATACAATACAAGAATGACAAATAGACCTATAGAAAGCAAAATCCTACCTACTACCTACCAAAACTATGCTCTGTATACAATAGTAATACGCTGAAAATAATATTATGATTTATTTATATGGAGGCAGTATTCATTTATATATATTTATATGGTTAGTGACATTAGATTAATAGGTATGATTTATCCTCTCCCTCCTCTTAGTAATTATGGTTATCTTTTAATATTCATGTTTTTAGTAGCTAGGTATCATTATTATGATTATATAAGATCTTAGTGAGGGGTGTGGTATAAAATTATTTTATTTGGGTTTTTGAGGTGTAGTCTTTATAATATGTTCAATATTTTTTTTGTATCCTTAATAAAGTTATTATTAATTTATATGTATTTTAGCTATTTTTAATAAAGTTATTATTTTTATTTGTATATATCCGTGGCCCTTGGAATGATATATTCATTCTGTGGTATTGGACTACACAATAATGGCCATCGTTAGGTGAATGTTAATGTGATTTAGCCTTTTTCTTTATTTTTATAGAAGTTATTATCATGCATATTGGGAGATAGTAATTAGCAGCGTTCGGTAATCATGTTAATTTTTTGTTTATAATGACCGGAGTAATGTAGAGAGGGAGATGCAGCATAAGGTCCATTGTAGGCAGTGGACTCCAATAAAATGGCCACCGGAGGTTCGCCTCCGAGTTATGATTAGCATCTAGCTTCCCCATAAAAGCGACCGCTTGTCATCAATGACGTTACCCTGAGGAAGTCACGTGATAAACGGACACAACGTGTAGGAATGTGGTGATGTATTTCCGGCGTGGACGCCATCTTGCTTCACCCGAAACCCATGCAAACTGCACCCGTAGCATGTGGTTAGAATGCTTGTTCGATGAGCGAATCGAACATGGCGAAGTGGAATTCGTTTCGAAGATCAGGAAAAATTCGATTCGCGCCGAATCCGAAAATTAGCAAACTTCGGATGCACGAATCGAATTTTCCCAAAAATGGCGGCGAACATGTGTGGCGACGGAGCGGGGATCTCTGGGAAAGGCGCGCAGACAAGGCGCGCTGACCCATAATGCATTCATTCATGACATGTGATCGCATTAGCCAATCAGCAGCCAGCCAGCCAGCACTGTGTAATGGTGGAGCTATAAATTGCGGCCATCTTACAATTCTCCATTAGCCTCCGGTCATTCAAGAGAGACAGACCTGTCTGTATTAGGGACAGAGTTAGGGCCAGAGAGACTTTAGGGCCACAGAATCGTTACTTAGGGGCCACAGAAGCGTTACTTAGGGACACAGAATCGTTACTCAGGGACACAGAATTGTTACTCAGGGACACAGAATTGTTACTCAGGACACAGATTCGTTACTCAGGGACAGACACAGAATTGTTACTCAGGGACACAGAATTGTTACTGAGGGACACAGAATCGTTACTCAGGGACACAGAATTTGTTACTCAGGGACACAGAATTGTTACTCAGGGACACAGAATTGTTACTCAGGACAGACACAGAATTGTTACTCAGGGACAGACACAGAATTTGTTACTCAGGGACACAGAATTGTTACTGAGGGACACAGAATCGTTACTCAGGGACACAGAATTGTTACTCAGGGACACAGAATTGTTACTCAGGGACACAGAATCGTTACTGAGGGAAACAGAATTGTTACTGAGGGACACAGAATTGTTACTGAGGGACACAGAATTGTTACTCAGGGACACAGAATCGTTACTCAGGGACACAGAATTGTTACTCAGGGACACAGAATTGTTACTCAGGGACACAGAATCGTTACTCAGGGACACAGAATCGTTACTCAGGGACACAGAATTGTTACTGAGAGACACAGAATCGTTACTGAGGGACACAGAATTGTTACTCAGGGACACAGAATTGTTAATCAGGGACACAGAATTGTTACTCAGGGACAGACACAGAATTGTTACTCAGGGACAGACACAGAATTGTTACTCAGGGACACAGAATTGTTACTCAGGGACACAGAATTGTTACTGAGGGACACAGAATCGTTACTGAGGGACACAGAATTGTTACTCAGGGACACAAAAACTGTTACTCAGGGACACAGAATTGTTACTCAGGGACAGACACAGAATTGTTACTCAGGGGACAGACACAGAATTGTTACTCAGGGACACAGAATTGTTACTCAGGGACACAGAATCGTTACTCAGGGACACAGAATCATTACTGAGGGACACAGAATCGTTACTCAGGGACACAGAATTGTTACTCAGGGACACAGAATCGTTACTCAGGGACACAGAATCGTTACTGAGGGACACAGAATCGTTACTGAGGGACACAGAATCGTTACTCAGGGACACAGAATTGTTACTCAGGGACACAGAATTGTTACTCAGGGACACAGAATCGTTACTGAGGGACACAGAATCGTTACTGAGGGACACAGAATCGTTACTCAGGGACACAGAATCGTTACTCATGGACACAGAATCGTTACTCAGGGACACAGAATTGTTACTCAGGGACACAGAATCGTTACTCAGGGACACAGAATCGTTGAATTAAAGAGTATGTCAGACAACACGTTAGAGGAGTGGCAGAGGAGGCAATGTTTCAGGAGCGAGCAGACGTGGCAGCAGAGGAAGGGGTCGAGGCAGCACTAGTCGCAGCCAGAGGCCAGTGCTCCCGGTGTCATCCAGCGGTCGTGTCTCCACCGACAACCCTGCCGTCATCGATTGGTTGGCTCGGTCGTCTTCCTCTTCCCAGGTCACCTCTGACACCTACAGCCAACGGTTAAACGGTGGGTACGTCAGACACAACCGTTAGTTGGCATGGCCCGGGAGCAGCCCACTGAAATCACGTGTCCTCTACCTGCCCCTGTCCTTTGGTGTTCCCTCACCAAGCGAAGTATCGCATGCTGTGGGCTCAGCCCCACTGTACAGTGAGGAAGAGCTAACAGAGGGCGGTCAGGAACGGGGAGATACATCTGCCTCTTCAGCAGCCAGGCGAAGAAGTACTGGCGAGGAGAGTGGCTCGGTAGCCGGTCTAGAGACAGGTCTGTCTCCTGACCCACACTCAGCCGAGGGGGCTAGTAGTGAGGCGGAGACCCTAATTGATGATGATGAGGCTGATCGCACTTGGCAGCCTCGTCGTCATCTGCCAGGCCCGTAATCTGCCATGGGCCCCCGTACCGACTCCTCATGCTGCTGCCAGGCCCGTAATCTGTCATGGGCCCCTGTACCCACCGCCTCCTCATGCTGCTGCCAGGTCCAGAGTGTGTCATGGGTCCCTGTACGGCCTCCCATTGCTGCTGTCTCCATCGCCACACTCTGCCATGTGCCACTTTCAGGTCTCCTCACACTGCTGGTGGGTTCCATTTTGTCATAGGGTGCTGGCAGATTACGGGCCTCCCATTGCTGCTGCCAGGCCCGTAATCTGCCATGGGCCCCCCGTACCGACTCCTCATGCTGCTGCCAGGCCTGTAATCTGTCATGGGCCCCTGTACCGCCTCCTCATGCTGCTGCCAGGTCCAGAGTGTGTCATGGGTCCCTGTACGGCCTCCCATTGCTGCTGTCTCCATCGCCACACTCTGCCATGTGCCACTTTCAGGTCTCCTCACACTGCTGGGTGGGTTCCATTTTGTCATAGTTTGCTGTATGGCCTCCCATTGCTGCTGCCAGGCCCGTAATCTGCCATGGGCCCCCGTACCGACTCCTCATGCTGCTGCCAGGCCCGTAATCTGTCATGGGCCCCTGTACCGCCTCCTCATGCTGCTGCCAGGTCCAGAGTGTGTCATGGGTCCCTGTACGGCCTCCCATTGCTGCTGTCTCCATCGCCACACTCTGCCATGTGCCACTTTCAGGTCTCCTCACACTGGTGGGTTCCATTTTTTCATAGGGTGCTGTATGGCCTCCCATTGCTGCTGCCTCCACCGCCACACTGTGGCTCCACACTCTGGTTTTGGCCCCGTGACTGCCCAAATGAGTGAAGTGTGCAGTGATTCTAAGATCGACGGCACTCATCTGCATGTCATACTGACTGACAGTATTATTTCTCTTCCCCAGCAGACTCCAAGGGCATTTAAATTAAAGGTACAGTGTTCTGCACTAATATAAAGGCTCTCTGAAGCCTAGAAACACCCTTTTTATAAGTTAAATTCGCAGCGAATATATTCGACTCAAATCGAATTTATTCCGCGAATTCGCCGAATCAGCCGAATCGAATTTTTGAATAATTCGCTCATCTCTAATTATTATGATCCACATGTGAGTTGGCTGTATTACGGTTACGCATATCTGGAGGGGATCTGAGATGTATAACGCATACCACTGAAGGGGTCTTTACTACTTGGAAGGATACCATAGAGGGGAATCTGACCGTGGAGGATCCTTTTGTGATTCCACAGGCGTATTGGCCCATTGAGTCACAGTAAGGAGGTGAAGAGGCAATTCAGCTATTTTGGATTTTATTACCAGTGGCTATAAACACACATCCACCATATCACCTGCATGGTTTTGAAGAAATAGTGGTTAACCTGGCATAAGTTCACTTTTTGGACTTTTGAAATTCTTTAATATTTTTATTTTTTAACCTATTTATGTATATTTCACTATACAATTATTTCTAGTTATTTTGGATCACTTTTATGTGATATTAATTGGGGGAGGATTGTTGTTTTTTCTTACATTTGTTTTTATATATTTGGGGTTCTTTGTGTAGTTCTCACTGAGCATGAGTAACTTTATACAGAAGTTATATCCCTCTTTTAAGGGATTCACTTTCATGTGTCACTTGTGTTTGTTTTTTTGGCTGATTTCTAGCCACTGATCCCAATTAGGGATTTGGGCTGTTTGTCCATTTATATTGTGTGTGTTCACCTAATTGGGTCCAATTGGGACCACGTGTTTTCACATTTTGTGTCACTTGAAAGATCCTAGAGAGGATCAGACCACTTTATATTCATCATAGTTTATGAATATTTTCACAATCTTTATTATTATTGTATTATGATACGTGGTTGTAATATTATTTATGTAGTAACACTAGATTTATATATAAATACGCTGAAAAGGTTACTTGACTCAGGTTAAAGTGGGTTCACAATCTTCATAGGCAACGCAAGGACCCAGGCTTACTCTGCAGCAATTGCAGGAGATCGAGCAAAAAACTTTCTTCTGTCAGTGATCTTCCTTGGTGTTAAGTCATCTTAAAGTCCTCCTAATTATCTTCTGTTGTTGCCTTTTATTTGGAAAGTGTAGATAGCCAGTGCCACATGGGTGTGGTTCCTCTCTACTTTGTTACACTGTCCAATTTTATATAGGTGATACATTCTCCAATTCGACCTCAAGATGGCACTGTTGTATCATACATGCCATAGGTCCTATATGTTAGAAGGTCAAGCTATTGGTAACCAAGGCTACAGAACAATAGCCAACTGTCAACTGAAATACAAATATGGTATCTATGTTACCATTGTATCCAGCAGCATTTTGTTTGAGAAACATCTCCTCAAATGTCTGTCTCAGAGACAAACAGGCTGAGGACATCAGTACACATACAATAAATATATATATTAAATCCAAAATATATATCATGGAACCCACAGAGTGGGGATATTGGGATATTGGGATTTATTTGCTAAAGGCAAATTGGCTCTTGCAAGGGAGTTTAATGAATACAGTGAAATCTGCTGACTTCCATCATCCAAACATAGGCAAGCAAAAGTACTTTTTTTTTTTTTTTTGTTCTTTTCACATGTATAGGTATTTTTTATTTGGTTAAATGTTTCTATAGCCTGAACTTTGTTTTGCATAGAGTAGGGATGATTACAATCCCTGTCAAGTATTACTGGTATCCATGGCTGTGTTAAACAAGTCACAGCTTGAATCTCAGCCAGTTCAGCATAGATCGCACAAGATTTGATCCATCTATGGGCAGGTTGATTGTACCCAAGTCGATCCATCGATCAACTTGGGTACAATCGGCATGTCAGAGTTTTAGTATGCAATTATTGCCAGTGGCTATAGCCTCTAACAATAATCATAGCTTTGCGGGAAGGATCCACCATAAACACTGACTGTGTTGATGAGGGAATCTCACAATTTTCTTTCCTGTAACAGGACAGAAAAATTGCATCAACTATGTCCTGCCTTAGAGATATTTTCTCTCATTTTCTGTTCTAGGAACAATATTTTTATAGAAAGAAAGAGGCAGAAAATCTTTACATTGAAGTAAACAATAAGGGATTCTAGCATTTTTACTCCTCTCTGGTGTTGTACAGTTTCCTTCACTTCATGTCTGGTAAAAAAGTTGTCCCCAGGGCAGTAAGGGCAAATCTTTATATAACAGAGCCTCAGACAGCAGTGAAATATGACAGGGGTTCTAATCCTTCCCACACTTTATCCAAACCCAAAAAATAGGTTGTAGAAACACTTTATTACCTATAATAATAGTATTTATCTATTATTTGTGTTCCTTTGAACCAAATTCATGCAGACCAAGCTGTCCAGAAAACTGACACCGAGATTGACAAACCACATAGCAGTGGATGTTTGCAATGGCCAGCTTTTGTTAATAAGGTTTAAAAGCCCCCCCCCCCCAAAAAAAAAAAAACAAACTTTGGAGCAGTGTCCCAATAATTCTGTCAATATAGTGTATATGTGGATTAGATGCAGTTTAAACTACATTCAATCCTCATGACATGTGAAATAACATTGCCTCCTATAGTGCCTGTTCACATGTCCAGTGCACTGGCAGTGCAGATTGAAAGAGTCTTGTACGATTTCTGAGTAGTGCAGTCCGGTTCAGGTGCTGATTACAGGCTATTGACTTCCATTGGAACTGTTCCTAAATGTCACATCATCAGTTCTCAACAGGATAAAATTCTGACCTGAAACTGAAATAAACCTGAGCTGAACTTGATCTAAACCTGACCTGAACCGCTGGGCAACTACTGTATCAATTAACTGTGAAATCTGAGCTTCATTCAGCACTGCACATGTGTGAATCAGCACTAAAAATTCATTTTGTAAAGTGAAAATACATGTTCTATTCCTTTTGTAAATCAATGACACAGACTATATTGTATCTGTTGATATTCTTTAATAATTTTGTTTCCTTTACAACTTCAACAGTACCTTATCTTTCAATTATTAAACTAGAGATTAAATCTGTACTTGCTGGTAAGACTGGAAAAACATTATATTTGTACAAGCTTAAAAGTGAATTTAGACATTTTATCTGATCTTAATTGTGTTCTTTTTAGATCAATATTTATGTAATGTCTGAAACAATTCACAAAAATTCCTCTAGAAGTGGTCTCAAAAATTGTTGAAATGTTATTGTTTCCATGGAGGGTGAGCATTGGAAAATATATTTTCTGTTCTATAATTTGACAGATTAAATAATTACTTGTGACCTGTCTATGCTATGACTTTATTCCATAAATAAATAAGAAGTGAATTCTTGGAATATTACCATTAAATGTTCAGTTTATCACTGTTGCTTAAAGCATTGATTTAATATTAAATATTTTATTAACACTTTGGAACTGCAGAGTATGCTGGAGGTTCTGCCAATGTATAGCTAGTGAAAAGATATACTGGAATAGAACTCCTGTGTTTTCAATAATTAAATGATATCTCCCCATAAAACATGTAAATGACCAAAGTACTGTATATATCAATAGCTGTTTTTTGTTTGGGATTTATAATGAAGCAGAAAACATCAGCAGAAAAGGTGAGCAATATTCAGCAAGAGTGTTTATCTTGTAAGCAAGAATAATTTTAGGTCTTCTTCCCCACTAACCTTTACTGAGAGCTCATGACTACAGATTTTTGCACCGCACAAGTTTGTTGCATACATCATTTAGAAACTTTTTTTTCATTCTTTTATTTAAAATATCAAGTAAAAACAAAAGTTCCATATTACAAAACAGTATACAGTGTTCCCTCGCCACTTCGCGCTTCATGTTTTGCGGCTTCAGTACTTCGCGGGTCAGCAGCCACATTGTGGAAAGGAGCATTGTTTCATGTTGATGCGCGAGAGAGAAGGATCCCTGCATGTCAACCAAAGAGATGAGTTGACTCAGAGTACTGTACATACCACGGGCTTTCATAAAGGAGCGTGATTGGTTTCCGGGGTGACATCGACCAATAAGAGTACGAGTGGATTTATCCCTGTGAGTTGATTGTCTGTGCATCATTGCAGCCTCACTTAGCATCTTCCCTTGTTGTATCTTGAGTCTCCGAGTCAAGTGAGAGCCTCTCCTCCGCCACCAACACAAGACTCTTCACCTCTCTCAGAAAGCAATGTTGATTAATGTTTATTACTGTATAAGGTTTTGTAATTAACCCTATTGTAATTAGCACTGACACGTTTAAGTAAATATGTATACTGTACAGTACTGTTGTAATTTTTGTCTTAAATGAGTAAAGTATGAATACTGTTTACATATTTAAAACATTCTTGTACAGTACCCGCATACACAAAAAATTCCTAGGGGCAAATACTACTTCGCGGTTTTTTCAGCTTTCGCGGAAGGTTCTGGTCCCCATTAACAGCGAAAAATGAGGGATCACTGTAATAAATATATATATGTTATCTGCATGCAGCAAATTTATTATTTCTTGAATCTATTTTGGCAGGTGCAATTAGGAAGAGTTTCCTTAAAGGACTGCTCCCTCAGCTTGTGGAGAGCTTGCTGTGAGTCCCTATAAGAGGTGGGTGGCTGATGGGGCTCAGGGTCTTCTAACCAGGACCAGAGAAGAGAGGCCTGCAGGAGGTGTCCATGTTCTCCTCCTCTAAAGGAAGCAGCCTAGCGGTTTATCCTTTCCACATTATGCTGTACTTGGGAACAAAGTAAAGCTTAATTGGGGATGGACAATACCCTTTTTGAGAGACTGAACATCATAGGAAGGTGTTTTTCACTTGCACTCCCCTTTCAGACATAAAACAGTGAGCAGTATAAGCAATGATTCATGTGCAAGGAACCAAAAAAGAACATGCTGCAAGTTCATGTTGAAAGCTCATTTTGTTAGCTGGGTTAATGCACTGCCACTATCTGGACTATTATGCCATGATCTAAGATGTCTAAGGCAACCAGTGTTCATGCGGA